ACTTTGTGGATTGGTGTTGGACACATGGGTTAATGTTGGACTTGTGGGTTTGGGCAGCACTGGGTTGGGATGTTTTCTTGATGTGCACTTACCCTTTATATAAAACCCTCTCATAAAAAAAAATTAAAAAGAACATGCCATCTCTAGTTTAAAAGATCATTCCCCAAAGACTTACCTAAATCGTACCACCTGTTACTTTATAACTTCCCCTAAATATCAAAAATATATTGTGGAATTCTGGTGATGTGACTTCTCATTGTTGCTCAGTAAGATAGGTTTGCTCATCTGTTATTGATAAAATCTTTAATGTCTTCTAAAGTAAAAGCATAATTTTGTGAAAGGCAGAACCATGTTAATTAGAAAAGTAAACTTAGGCATATGAAAATCTATCAAAAACCTTAGTGCTTGATTAATTGGGTGTTTAAAAATGCAGCCCTGTTTTGTTTGTGAATGGTTGATGAATTTCTGAAAAATGATTATTACAAAACTTTGGAACGTGTTCTTTATTTTTATTGCTCCAGCTCTCCAATCACTTTTTACAACATAGAACTTCAAGTTAATGAGCAATGTGGATTTGCGTTGTATCCATTGTTTTTTCTTGAATTATATCATTGGCTTCACAAGACGTTTCATTTGTTGAACTTGATGTTGCATTTGAGTCGAGGGTTTTGGCTTTTCTGGTTAATATGCCTGCACAAATAAACAAAACAAAATGAAACTATTATCTGAAAATATGGCATACCAGTTTACTTTTAAAAATCTGTGCTTCAAAAATAAAGTTAATGTTATGTAACAACATTGAACACATCCTCAAAATAGTAGCTAGATGAGTTAGAATTGAGACATTTAGAATTGAGACATTTAAAAGTTGTCTTTGGGATGTACAATGCCTGGTGGGGTTTGATCAAGTGCAATGTAGCCAAGAGGAATTACTGAGAGCGGAATGAAGGTTGAACATGATAGTGAGACAGGAGGAAAGTAAAAGGAAATTGAGGAAAGAACTGGGAAGCAAAAGACATTTATAGAGGTATAAATATAAGCATGTATATATGTAAATATATTAATATATAATGATAGGGATAGAGGTCTATGTACATATATTTATATGTTAAGTATCAAGGTAACCATCAGACATTGGGCCTCTACTCAAGTCCTCCCTCAAGGCAAGAACACTTTGTTCTAATAATGGGCATTCTGTGATGTTTCCCATCCCAACACAATCACTGAAATCAAAATAGGTATATATGCAAATGTGGCGAAGAAAGCTGATGGTGTCTGGCTACTACAAGGTATAGCATCTGGGGTTTTAAAGGCTTGAAGTTAAACAAGCGGCCATCTAGCAGGGAAGCGACAAACTCCACATGGAAGAAGCACACCAGTTTGTGTGATCACAAGGTGTTGACAGGATTAGTTATCAGGCATCAAAAGACCCCCAAACAACCAAATCGATGCAAATGAAGAGAGTTGGAGTGGAGCCCCAAAGCCCATCTGTAGACAATGGGACATCCTCTCACAGAAGGGTCACAAGGGATGAGCCAGCCAGGGTGCAGTATTCCTCTGGTTTGTTAATGCTTCCTCCCTCCCCCGTCCCGCCCCACCCATTGTCATCATCACCCCAGTTGTACCTTACAAATCCTGCTGGACCAAAGCAGGTACACAGGTACAGATAAGAGCTCTTGACGAATGGTATCTAGACAGATAATCCCCTCAGGAATGATAATGGGAGTAACAATAACATGAGGGTAGGTGGAAGGTGGGGGAGAAAGGAGGAGCAGATCACAAGGATCAACATATAAGAGAACCCCCTGCCCCCGACTTGAGGGAGATGAACAACAGAAACATGGGTGAAGGGAGACAGCGGATGATGTAAGATAGGAAAACAATTTATCAAGGGTTCATGAGGGTGGAGGAGGAAGGGGAAAATTAGCTGATACCAAAGGCTCAAGTAGAAAGAAAATGTTTTGAAAATGATGGGAACATAAGTATAAATGCGCTTGATAATTGATGTATGGATTGCTATAAGAACTGTCAGAGCCCCCAATAAAATGATTTTTTAAGTTGTTTTTGAGCATTTGCTCCTGAAAGTTAAATGAGGGAAATATGCAGTAACAGCATCAATCCCATGCTTACCTTTCTTTCTCCATGCTTCCAAGGAAGAGACTACACTAATGTTAAGACAGTAACAATTTTTGTTCACTAAATAATTAAAATGTGATGTCCATATACATGAGCTACACTAAAGTCAATCACAGTAACCTACAACATTTTGAGACTTTGTTGTCACTAAAATCAATTTAAAGGTGATTTTTTAAAAAACCCAATGTGCCCCAGTCTCTACTCATTCCCTAGAAAAATGAGACCTAAATCAACAAGGGTCAAAGAAATATGGATTTCTTTCCACCCCAGAAGTTAGTCTGACAAGGAAATGTGTTCTTATTCAATGGATGGTATTAGAAAATCTGAGTAGTTATATACATAATTTCTCATATCTCACCAATATGCAAAAGTTCAAATACATTTAAGTAATTTATAAATGTATAAAATGCAGTAAATCACAGATGTTACTTATGGACCTCCATGTTGCTAAATCCATAGTCCAGTTCACAATCTACATCTTACCCGACTTGGCAGCATTTGACCTAATTCCTTAATTGGCCTGCAGGATGTCACCTTCCTTGGTCTCCTTGCTACTGCTCATTCTCGGTGTCTCCTGTCTGACTCTTCTCTAAGATTGTGATCACAGAGCCAGGAATCTCCATGGCTCATCTCACAGTTCCTATCCTTGTCTCATTTCTCAAATAGGCTCACCCACCTCCCAGCTTTTAATACTACGTCTATGCTGATGAAGAACCAATGTGTTAAAATTAGGGTGCTGGTAAATATTGAAAGTACTGTGGTTTGTCTGCCAAAAGAGTTAACGAATCTGTCATAAAGGAGTACAGCCAGCATGTTCCTTAGAAGCAAGGATGTATTTTGGACAGGTTATCTTGAGAGAACCGTCTCTGGGAAAGAGCATCCTGCTTGGTAAAGTAAAAGGGCAGTGCATCTCCTCACTGAGATGGATGGACCCAATTTCTACAACAGTGGCTCAAACGTAACAATTGTGAGGTTGGCAAAGGACCAGGCAGTGTTTTGTTCTGTCAGAGCCAACTGGATGGCATTTAACAACAAAGACTCTGCTGTGGACTCCCAGCTATGTCTCCTGAATTCTAGGTGCACCTGCCGAGTCAGCATCTCTATGTAGATATCTAGTGGACATCTCCAGCTTAGATGAGGCCTGAAATCATTTTTATTTTCTTTTTTTTAATCATTTTTTTGGGGCTCATACAACTCTTATCACAATCCATACATGCATCGATTGTGTAAAGCACATTTGTACACTCGCTGCCCTCAACACTCTCAAAATATTTGCTGTCCACTTAAGCCCCTGGCATCAGCTCCTCATTTTTTCCCCTCTCTCCTTGCTCCCCTCTCCCTCATGAACCCTTGATAATTTTTTTTTTCAGGTGATTTCTTTTAATCGTTTTATTAGGGGCTCATACAACTTTTATCACAAT